ATATGATGGAATAAAAATCTTAGAAGTATCCGCCTCGGTTAATACCTTTTTTAAGGTTCATATCACATCAAATACTTATCATCACAAAAGTCCTTAACCGTTTTATTAAGCTCAAAATGCTGTTTCTAATTGGATCGGTTGGTTTATCATGTGTACTGCTGTATTTTACCACAGGTACAGCGCGGCTAAGTTAAACAATCGTGTTGACCAATACGATCTGTTTTTTAAAGTTAAGATATGACCAAACTTATTATAAACATCTTAAATGTTTATTAATCAAACAGCTGTTTGTTCACGGTCAAGTTGTAGGGGATTCTCCTCAAGACTTTGTCTCGATTTCATATTCACCTAAAAGCCGGTATACACGATTTTTTTTTATAAACTGACTACGTGGTTAGGATTTGTCTGACAGTATTTGAACACCGGTAAGGTGGCAGACGTGAGATCGACTCCCGGCGTAGGAAGTTTTGTCAACCTCTAAACTCGGCCCAGACAGATGTTGTTTATCTATCGTCAAGACAGTCCGAGAGAAACGTTGGGGAAGTCGCAAGTTTGCGTGGTTAGTCCTTCATTTATTCAATAGAATGTTTCTGAAACATACATGTCGCTATCAGCTTTGTTTACACCAACATATTCATTTATACGTTTAGTCACACAGAAGCTTACATTTCTGTGAAATGTTGGGTATTTATCATCAAAAACACATTCGTTGATTTCGCCAACATTGATACCTAATAGCAATTTTCGTTATGAGGTTAAATCTCGCCAATATTATTAGAAATACACGTTCCTATCGGTCAGTAAGAAAAACGCTCTAGAACGTAGTTTTAATTCTGAACAGACATAAGGGAATTACTTATTACTTATTGGTAAATTAGACGAAATGTAAGTATTTAATAGAATACAGATGTGAATTTTGCATTTCAAATACACGATAGCATTTACTACTCTTTTGCTTGACCTCATAATCCGCTTGAAATGTTTCAAGTACATGCTATAGATCTCGGGGAAACATGCACAGCTCATCTGTCTAGATAACGGTAATATCTTTTAATCATACCTCCATGTGGACAGGCAATTCATTTTACACTGTTCATTTTGTTTATATAATTAGCCAGATTTAAAGGGAGGTAATTAGAAATAGTAACAGACCCATGCGTATCCGTCAGGAATCCCTTAGCTGTGATTACGTGGAGACAGTGTGATATGTAGTTTGCTGTTGACTGATGTTCTATCTCGGTGTTAATCACTGAAATCCAGATCAAATGGAGACCTGGGAGGTACAGCCGATGTCGGCAGCATCAGATATTAAGACCTATTCGACAAATTGAAGGAAGAGTGTCGCATGCTCATTTGAAATACATAGGCCTGTTTTTGTACAGCAGATGGGTCGTTCAAACGCCAACTGCACTAGTTTGGCCTTCCCGAACGAGCTCTCCGTTGCCGATAAGCCGATATGTTCGGGAATGTTGTCAAGTTTGAAACAAATAACTGGCGATTCCTAAATACTCTACCATCCCACAGCGTCTGCTCTTTATATGCCTTTTATTGGTGAGGCTGGACAATAAACCCCGAAGTATGTAGTAATTACGTAGAATTATGGTAAAAATCCCAGCTTATCATCTACATAGCATTACATCTGACAGTACAGCATAAAAGACTTTGTGACCTTCCCGATAGCGCGCCGACCCCTCGACACTACAAACAGCGCCACGGCTATTGACGCGAAAGTTTGGCACTGGAACGATACACTCCTGATAGCAGGAGTAAGTTGAAACAGACAAATTGACTAGTAATGTCCAAACTTTAATCCCAGCTCCTATTTCACAACACTTATAGACAACGCATTCTCAATTTTACGACATTTAAAGTACCAGCGTTTGGACCTATAACCTTGTCGGAGTTCTTCGACACAATTGTGCGTAATTAAATAGGAAACCATCTTTGCATGGTCAAAAAAACCCACTCTTACAATAAAGCAGTCTTAAAATCCCATGACACACACAATTTTATGCTCATTTTGCTCTTATTTCCCTTTGCTGATGTTTAATAAAGCATAGCAATCCCAGTGAATTTTACATCGGATTGTGCGTGCTACGCGAGACATAACATGTATCCCTGATGCTAGGCACACAGAACCTTTCTTAACTCATTATTTGTTTCAATATTTGAACACCCATTGTCATTGCATTTCAAATGATACGTTCAATTGTTCCTGATATTAATGTTATTTCAATATGTTTTATGCTTGTTCCTCTAATATTTGGCGCTCTTCACACTTGTGTAGTCTGTTAATAACTAGTGCAATACATGATAGATACTATCTATTAAACGCTAACTGCGGAGCACACGAGTGAATATATACATCCGCGCAATAAATGAGTGCTTTTTGATTCGTTAGAAAACAAGTGTGTGGTCTTGCTTTTATCACATACCTTCCGTATTTGGTAGATTGCTTTTATCACATACCTTCCTTATTTGGTAGAGATCGATACAAAGATTTTATAAACTTTGATTTTTTTTGAAAATACCGGGAACTTTTTATTTTGCCATGACAAGGGGGTTCCCATAAAAAGTAGTTCTGGCTAGTAGGTAAATACAACATCCCGTATTGCACATGTGCAATACAGAACGTTGTATTTCATGGTCTGAAAATTGCTTGTATTACTATAACAAGATTCAACAGGCATGTGATAAATGATAAATACTATCACAGTTTGTGTTAAATATACATACTATGTAGATCGTAGCGCGTGTCGATACGCTGGGTAGATATTCGACCCTATCCAGGGCGCGTCTGCTGATGTACTTCAGCTGCTATGAGCTGCCATGCTCTTTCCTGATCAGCAATTGCAGTTCATCCAATTCAAAGGCGCTTATTCCAGTGCCCTACGGAAGCAACGCTCGTTTGCGAAAAGTCATACTTATCGCAAGCTCTGTTGATTTCCTGTCGGACATTTTCCATTCGTTCGTCATGCTCTTCAAGTGTTGTTCCGAAAATTTCGTCAATCTTACGGACTACCCCAGATACATTTTCAAGTAGGTTGTGAATTCTCTCAAATGTACAGGTGCCCAGGAAATACACAACAGCAGACGTTTAAAGTAACAGTTAATGTAAATAATTAGTATTGTCAGCAGTCTTCAGGATTTTTTCAACGACACCTGCCAATGTTCTGAGTTAGTGTCGGCCTTGAGAAGACCTTATTTCTTGTCAATCGGTGTAGAGTTTACTCTGCACTTGGGAGTTGTGTCTGCTCCATGCAAACCGATTTCTTCAAATAAGATATGTACACAACACATAGGCAGTCCAATCTCTCTGGGATACCAATGTGAGCTCTCCAATTATCAACAGGGAAATTAACATTTCATCCTTCCACCCATCAAGTTTGTTCATGACCTTGTACGGAAATGGCGGTTTTTAATGCTAAAACACATCGTTTAATCTTGACCTATGTACCGGCCTTTGTACCTGTCTTAAAGTTCCCGAACACATTTATGTTGTTCTGTTCTGGTCCGGGTAGGATTCTAGCAATGATTTGTATAACCCTTCATTTCGTTATAAACACCCTCGGGTATGGCGGTAACATCCAATGTTTATCAAAGATTTGATCGGTGAAGAAGACCTTTCGGTTTTTACTAAAACTCTAAATGCTTGATTTCATGGTCTAGGTTATTTCTTAATATCCTCCTCACCAGAAACTCTGAGCATAGATTTTGTTTATCGTAGTTCAAGTTCAATCCAGGTTTTTTCACATGGTGTCCCTTCCAGTAATATGTCTCACATTTGGGGTCTTCAGCATGAGAACTGTATTTGTGATGGTACCAAAATCTCTGACATGATTGATTATATGTGGACTGAGACTACTATGTCTTACGGTTACCCGAGTAAATCTCATATTACTTACGCTATCTCGGGTTTATGTTGATTAAAGTCCCTTTTCTGATGCCGAAATATTGCGTAACACTATTGAAAAGTCCTAACCACAGTATTCTGTTGCTTCTAAATTTCTTAGGCTTTCCTCATCTGCATGACTGCCTGACACAAGGCCCTTTGAAGTTTCTGTGATTATGCCATCGATCCGGTCGCGAATAGTTTCTGACTTGAGATCTCCATTATAACAATGCTCAACCAGTGAGTACACTGCCGCGATGAAACATTCTGTGATCTCATTCATAAGCTACGAATATCTTGCTCTCTCGAAAAATATTTTAGACCTTATTCCCTTAAAATCACTTGCAATTATTTGATAGTTTTTTAGAGTCGTCTTCTGTTAATCTAAACGATTTAAGAATGTTCAGAATAAGACAAACTTAGCCTTTAAGAATTCATAATGTCTTCGTCTTTATTGTGTAAGTAAATTAATTTTACTTGTAAGGTAACATATTTTACTTGTAAGTAACATATATTAAAACTAGTTCTGCCTTAGTCCTAAATCAGTTTGACCAGTTTCGGTTTGGCAGAATTAAAATTATCCGGGTCTTAGACCGGTGGTTCATCATTTGGCCTTTGGGATTTCGGTGTATGCTACGTCGTTGTCTAAAACGGGCATAGGTAAAATACTCCGTGGTCTCTGTGGAAGTATTCAAGGGATCCAGCGCTATAGTGAGCTTAACACTCATAGTAGTGTACACGTAACCATCTTGAAACACAAGCCCAGAATATGTCACTGAAAAGTTTGATTTTGTCTTTCAGACCGATTTTAATTTTTAACAGTGGGCAATATTTTTCTCAATATTAAATGAAGCTATAACTTTTACGAAATCTACATTTGACGCTCTTATTAGAATAACAAAAATCCATATACATTTCGGCTACTGAAATAGGAGGTAAGGGTTGTCCAATTCAAAACATCTAAAGGAGAAGGGTCGATCTACCGACTCGATTGACAAAACAAATAATGTCTTCCTTATCAGAGTTAGGTAAGATACTATTTTACTTTAAAACTATAAAACTTTCTTGCTAGCAGACTTATTAAATGCTTGTTTGTTGTTTATTTCAGAGACAGTTGGAAGTACAACGTTTACGGAGCGCCAATCCAGAGTACACACAATGATTTTCAATATCACCAGTTTATCTATGGAGGAAGTGGTAGACTTGGCGGAACTCAGACTCTTTACCTTGGTGGAGAAGGACCGCAACGCGTATATAGGTGTCGACAGGAAGGTGTCTGTGTTTGAGGTTATCCCCTCAAATGACCAGCCGTATAAACTCATCAACTCCAAACATATATACGGACGCAACAGCAACTGGGAGACGTTTGACGTCACTTCCGCAGTTAAACGATGGGTGCGTGATATTAATTCAGTGCAAATATTAGAAATTAGAATAGAAAACGTATTTCATAGTGTTAGTTACGGAGAGATGGATATTGACGCTCGCCCGAAAACTAGGACGGAGCCGTTGTTGGTTGTGTTCTCCAGCGAATACAGTAAGAACAAACTTCACATGAAGGAGAGACACGAAATGGTCACACATGAAATGGACTCGTTTGATTTCATGGGAGATCTCAATGATACACAAACTAACCAATCAGAATCGAACACATTACAACATCGTTTCAAACGGAGGTCAAACAAGAAGGGGACGGTGTGCCGACGGCGCCCTCTATACATCCAGTTTAGTGATATAGACTGGGATAGATGGATTATCGCCCCTCAGGGCTATCAGGTACGTCATCAACTTCCCATACAAAAAATGGACAAATTAACTATAATGTGTAAGCTTTGACGTTAACATAAAAAGAAAACACAGCAATATATAAATACCACAACCAACAGAGAAATATACAATATACACATTACTCATTACTGTTCTTGTTCTCATTCACATATCCTGTTTACTTTTTACATTCACAATCGTGTCACAAATACTGGTTATCTCTGTCCCATCTCTGTAAAGTTGGCAGACGGAGGTACAGACATGCTATCGAAACAAGTGAGACGTAATTTGAAAAACACGACACTACTACCAAGAACATATTTTTGTTAGTTGGCTACACTTCAACAGAATTGTAATTCCCAACACTTCTATTGAAAATCAGTGTAGCAACAGGGACTATCTGTACATCAGTTATAATTGGTAAGGTTTATTTATTCTTATAAAATACACATATCATGTAGGTTTTGCTGAGAAGAAATCACATCCTCGTTCGATCTTTTTATTTCAGATTAGATGTTTATTGTTTTGTACGGAGCATTAGAGCCACGTAGAAAATAATACATGTCTTTGGTAACAAAGCATTTCGGGATAGAATCTCATGCTTTCTCCGAACGTTTGGTAAAAGCCGCCACAGACTTCTCTAGCTCAATGTCTTGATATTTCTCTATAGCATGCGACTAATGGTCAACCCCTTGATAACTAAGCTCTTTTAGAAATATCAGTGCTTAAATTTACTTTCGTATCTAAGGCAGAAATACCCTACCATTTCATGTTGGAATGGTTGTACTTTCCGATAACGTTTTCAAGCCATTTGATTTTGTATTTTTATACGATGTCGGCTACAGGAAAAATAGGGATGCCATTAAGATTGTGTAAGTTTACTTGGTTAACTAAAGACAATATGAGTGTCATTTGGTTTTATAGTTTTTACTGGGTTGGCTAAAGACAATATTGTTCATGATTTTGTTGCCATTCGGTTTCGACCATTTTTGGTTTGGAGAACGAGCTGTCACTTGTTATTTTCGTAGGTAGTGTATTCATTGTAGTTTCTTGTCAATTGTAGATATCGTTGATACACGTCACTTAACATGATTATGATATACCAAGGTTAATCAAGACACATGTTTCTTCCAGTAAAATGTTGCGTAAAGGACCATCATATACTTACCACTATATAACCCACGTGTTGGAACCAACCTATATTTCCAACTATATAACACACGTGGTGGACCAACCTAACCTATATTTACCACTATATAACCCACGTGGGGGACCAACCTATATTTACCACAATATAACACACGTGGTGGACCGACCTATACTTACCACTATATAACACACGTGGAGGACCACCATATACTTACCACAATATAACCCACGTGTTGGACCAACCTTTATATACCACTATATAACACCAGTGGTGGACCAACCTAACCTAAACTTACCACTATATAACACACGTGGGGGACCAACCTTTTTTTACTACTATATAACACACGTGGTGGACCGACCTATACTTACCACTATATAACACACGTGGAGGGCCACCATATACTTACCACAATATAACCCACGTGTTGGACCAACCTATATATAACACTAGTGGTGGACCAACCTAACCTAAACTTACCACTATATAACCCACGTGTTGGATCAACCTATATATACCACTATATAACACACGTGGTGGACCAACCTAACCTAAACTTACCACTATATAACACATGTGGGGGACCAACCTATATTTACCACTATATAACACTAGTGGTGGACCAACCTATACTTACCACTACATAACACGTGGTGGACCAACCTATACTTACCATTAAATAACACACGTGGGCCAACCTATATTTACCATTAAATAACACACGTGGGCCAACCTATATTTACCACTATATAACACACGTGGAGGACCAACCTATACTTACCACTATATAACACGTGGTGGACCAACCTATACTTACCACTATATAACACGCATGGTGGACCAACCTAACCTATACTTAACACTATATAACATGCGTGGTGAACCAACCGATACTTACTACTATATAATACGCGTGGAGGGCCACCATATTCTTAACACAATATAACCCACGTGTTGGACCAACCTAACCTAGACTTATCACTATATAACACGCGTGGTGGACCAGCTTAACCTATACTTACCACTATATAACACGCGTGGTGGACCAACCTATACTTACCAGTTTATAACACGCGTGGTGAACCAACCTATACTTGCCATTATATAACACGTGGTGGACCAACATATATTTACCACTATATAACCCACGTGGTGGACCAACCTAACCTATACTTACCACTATATAACAGACGTGGTGGAACAAACTATGTTTACCAATATATAACAACTGGTGGACTAACCTATACTTACCACTATATGACACGCGTGGTGAACCAACCTAACCGATACTTAACTCTATATAACACATATGGGAGACCAAACCATACTTATCACTATATAACACACGTGGTGGACCAACCTAACCTATACTTACCACTATATAAACCACGTGGGGAACCAACCTATATTTACCACAATATAACACACGTGGTGGACCGACCTATACTTACAACTATATAACACACGTGGAGGACCACCATATACTTACCACAATATAACCCACGTGTTGGACCAACCTAAATATAACACTAGTGGTGGACCAACCTAACCTAAACTTACCACTATATAACACGTGTGGTGGACCAACTTATACTAACCACTATATAACACGCGTGGTGGACCAACCTATATTTACCACTATATAACAGACGTGGTGGCCCAACCTATATTTACCACTATATAACACACGTGGTGGACCAACCTATACTTACCACTGTTTAACACACATGGTGGACCGACCTATACTTACCACTGTTTAACACACGTGGAGGACCGACATTGACCAACCTATACTAACCACTATATAACACGCGTGGTGGACCAACCTATATTTGCCACTATATAACAGACGTGGTGGACCGACCTATACTTACCATTATATAATACGTGGTGGACCGACCTTGACCGACCTATACTTACCACTGTTTAACACACCTGGAGGACCAACCTATACTTACCACTATTCAACACACGTGAAGGACCTACTAATTACCGTTTGTAACCTAGTTTACATGGTTGCATTTAAATCTGCTACAAGTCGATGCTTTGTCTCGTTAAACTCACAGGGATAACTTTTGTCGACGTTCGTCTTGACAACGTTGCATTACTTTGTTCTGAATAGAGACTTAATCAGGAAAAAAAGGTTGGAGAATTTTAAAAAGGAAGTTTATATAAAAAGTGCAAAGTTTTACGTTTCTTTTTCGAGCCAGGTGTAATTTAGTTTGGCATTCTTGTTATTTACCTTGAGTAAAGTGCATGTTATGAATACACGCGTACAGTAAACTGTCTCATTAAATCTGTGATGAGCGGGTAACTGGACGTCGTGACCTACAAATACCTAACAGATACTGCAACATAAACAAATACTCTATGTAAAGGTTAGCGTTCTTTTAACAAATTCGATATCAGAGAAAGTCTACCTCTGTGTTTGAGACTAAATAATATTATTAGGCTATATGATAATATAGTCTGTAAAAACTTTACTCGATCACTTGAAATGTTTCAGTATGCTGATTTTAGATCACGCGACCATTGATGTTGACTATGGCATTATGCTGGTTTAACTAGCAATGGCGACAGTCTTATTAGAAAATGAAAAATAAATATTTGCCCAAACGTTCTTGCATAGTCAGGTTAGGAATTTAGGAAACAGCAATAACAGGATCACCAATCCAAATGAGCTAGAGATGACAATACACAGCAATAACAGGATCACCAATCCAAATGAGCTAGAGATTACAATACACAGCAATAACAGGATCACCAATCCAAATGAGCTAGAGATGACAATACACAGCAATAACAGGATCACCAATCCAAATGAACAAGAGATGACAATAAACAGCAATATTAACAGGATCACCAATCCAAATGAGCTAGAGATGACAATACACAGCAATATTAACAGGATCACCAATCCAAATGAGCTAGAGATGACAATAAACAGCAATAACAGGATCACCAATCCAGGTAAGAAAGAGATGACAATAAACAACAATAACAGGATCACCAATCCAGATAAGCTATAGATGACAATTAACAACAATGAGCAGGATCACCAATCCAAATAAGAAAGAGATGACAATAAACAACAATAACAGGATCACCAATCCAGATAAGCTATAGGTGACAATTAACAACAATGAGCAGGATCTCCAATCCAAATAAGATCGAGATGACAATTAACAACAATGAGCAGGATCACCAATCCAAATAAGAAAGAGATGACAATAAACAACAATGAGCAGGATCACCAATCCAAATAAGCTTGATATGACAATAAACAACAGTATTTGAATACTATTCTTCAAATGTTAAATCGATATCTTTTAGGTGCCATTGAAATATTGTTATCTATCGTCTGTCTAATAAATTTCTTACGGCGGAGTCAAAGTCAGAAACACAATACCGTTGTCTAATAAATTTCTTACGGCAGAGTCAAAGTCACAATACCGTTGTCGCACTTCATTTGAAACTCGTAACACTTTTGAAATCGTGGTGAAAAGTTTATGGATAATGTGTACTGTGATTCTTCTGAAGTTTTTTAACCGTAAATGACAAATAAACATGTACGGTCCGTGATTAAGTTGACACGTTTTCTAGATGAAACTCTTTACAACTGGAAAATTTTAACATCGAGAAGAAAGTTGAATTTACATATGTAAGTTTTAATATTGTGTAAGAAAATAACTTTACATCTGACATAGCGATTGTTCTAAACTTATAACTTTACATTTGAAAATAGCGTCTTTCAAGAAATAATAACTTTACATCTGTTAAAATTGACTCTACTGAAATAATAACTTTACATCTGTAAAAAGTGACATTGCTGAATTAATACCTTACATCTGTAAAAAGT